TCATCAACTAACTAACATTATTCTTGTGAAGGAGATACCTCAAAGGTCAATCTAATCATTTACATGCTAGGTGTGGTACTAAGTTTAGGATCTCATTTGTACTCTATTTCTTTTTAATTGTGAATAATCTCACAACGACCTTGTGTTGTTCATCTCTTAAGTATGTATTTTTTTAAGGAAAACTTTTACATCATTAGCTTTAAAACACTTTCAAAGCATAAGAATAAAGTGTGTCAAATGTTTCAACTTTTTACAAGTGAAAGATATTATAGTTGAGAAAAGATCAAATGTAATTGTCTATGATCCTTACTGATTTACTTTAGTAATGACATATTCAATTAAAGGAGGATTTTCAATCCTTTATGATATACAATAAGCTAAGAATTAAGCAAACTCTTATTAGAATAAGTTAAACACTATATATGTATATACCTTAGACTATTTGTATTAGTATTGGTGACAACTTATATTGCAACATGGTTAGCTTGTGATAAGACTCATATTCACGCTTGAGCTCATTGTAATATGTTTTTCTTTAACAACTCATTCAAAGTGTTCAAAGAATTACTTATGTCAACACCAAATTGTTTTGTCTTTCACTTAGTTGTGTACTCTGCATTCTAAGAGTGAAAACATCCTCCAGATAACATAATGCTCATTTATTCTTTATGGAATAAAGTGAAATAACCTAAGTATTTTCTTGAAAATTGTATTTTGTAATCAACTTTATTCAAACCTCTTGAAATTTAATTAAAGTATCAAAGTCATACATGCATCTTTTCAAATATCTCAAAAAATGACTTTCTTTTTTCATCAAATTGTCAAGGTGTTTTATTCCATTTGTGCATTATGTGTGATTTGCATAAAGCATGATGTGTCTCAAGCATTACTTAGACAAGTATCTTAGTCATTGTTTGATCTTAGTCTGTAAAAATCATTTTTGTTTGTTTTTTAATAGTACGCTTCCAAGAATGTCTCAAACAACCATTCAAATTATTATGTCATTTCATTATATAAAAAGCCCGCCTCAAATATAACGACGCATTTATAATAGTTAAAACCTAAAAATAATGTTAGAGGCTATTAGCCCGATTAGTACAATATCTAGTATCTCGCAATACAACGTCACCAAAGAACCCATAATTAATCACCATATTTGGATTTGTCCAAAAAACATTTATGATTTGTTCATCAACATCCATTTGGTATGCATGAAAAAATGATGGATTGTTCACCAAGTGTCGCTGAAAGTATTGCATTAGACAACTGTTTCTCCATATATTATTCTCTTTTGTCTCTTTATCTTCAAATAATTTTTTGCATCAAAGCAAGTATACCAAACCTTAGCTCAATGTCCTGCAAGTGTGCTGATAAGTTGAAATGATGACTTTCATTGCAATCGTGAAAATTCAGTAAAATCAATCTTATGAGCTTGAACTTCAGTTATTTTACAATGCAAAGCAAGCTTGTGTTTTACCTCAAATATGGATGTTTATCTTAAGCAAAACTCTTCTGCCATAGTAAATAGGAACCTCTTCTCACATATTTTAATCAATCTTCTTATTTTCATTGTACTTTCTTATTATCACATCCATATTCCAAGATAATACATGTGGTAAGAAAATTATTTCATTAAAAATAGAACAATTCATATTCAACATAGAACAATAATAGCATCATTTGTTAATCAAAGTACAATTTCATCTTGCATTTACAAAAATTATATTCCTAAAAGACAATAGTTTTCTACTAAACAACATGAACAACAACAATATTGTTACTAACACATGAATCATCACACTAATACTTAAAATCTTAATCTTATTGCTAATTTTGAGTGAGTTATGAATATGCAAAAAAAATTTCCTTTGCCTTAGTAGTGCAATTTAATTATTTTTAACTTTATTATCTTCCCTTAACTTGAAAAACTCATAACTCTTATCAAACTGAAAAATAATATAATAAATCAGTAAGACAAAATGGTTGAACTTATTTCTACATAAAAATAAAATTTATTTTTATAAAATTATCGTATAATTTCTATATTCTTAAACACTCATTCTTATATTTGTTGTTGTTATGCAATAAACACTCTTCATACTGTAATAACAAAATGAATGCTCAACCCCTTTATGAGCAAATATCATGTTGAAGATTGCAAGTGTATAAAAGTTAAAGTTTCACTCTGTTTTATTGTTTCAAAAAGAACATAAAATCTTAATTTATATGAAAAAAGAAGATTAATGATATAACTTTTTTTAAATAAAAAATTATAAGTAAAATTAAATAAATGACGTTAAACTATTTAAGTAGCGCATAAGATGTATTTGTTAAGTGATATAACAAAATTAATAGAAATAATAAACATGAAAGAAAAATAAAACTTGAAAAATGAAATAAATAAAAAAAAGTAGAAACCGAAACAAAAATTTATTCTAAAATTATGAGATAAAAAATTAATTTTAACTGTTAATTATTAAAAAAATAGATAAATTTCAGTTTTTGCAAGGGACTTGTCGATAAATCTATACTATGAACCTCATTAACTACAAGTTTCAAGAAAAAAGTGGGCTACAGCACCATTACCATTGTTTACAAAGTTGTTTATCTTCTTTTGATCCAACTTGCCATGATCAAAGTGTTAGGATCTCAATTATTAGTTTCACATAAATTAAGATGTAAAATTAAAAAAAGAACTAATGAATATCTTAATTCTTATAATTCTGAATAGGAAATGAGTACAATAATTTAAATTATGATTAATATCTTAATTAAAAATAGAACGAAATGTGGATATCACGGAAAGGCATGTAGAAGAGGAAGAGGGCACACGTGCAACGGGTAGTGGCTGACCGCAATTTGCGGGCAGTTGTTGTGGGGCCGGAAGACAAGGACAAGTGAATAGAAGCGCCAGCAAGACAATGAGTCAGGTGGGTCCCACTCTAATGTCATTGTCGCCTTCTCCTTCTCTGTGGGTCCCTTGCCCCGTCAGCTCCATGTTTGCTTTTTCAACTTTTCTTCTCTCTCTCTTCTTCTTTTTTAAATATTATTAATCATAAATTTAAAATCATAACATCAACTCTTTATTTAAATAGAAATTAATTTGAACAAAAATCATTTTTATTGGGCTATCAATACTCTAAACAGCTAACCATTGCTTAACTAGATGCCCCACTAATTTCACATATTTTTCTTTTAAAAATTATAATAATTTATATTTTAAAAGTATTTATTTAAAAATAAAAATATTTAATAATTCTTCTAGAATTGTGGGAAATGACGGGCTGGGTAAAGCAACAGCCAAAAGTGGTAGCTCAGGGCTCAGCAGCACTGCACACATATCATCACTTTGTTTGATTTTGATGCGATGGGACTATGATCATTACTATTATGCCCTTTTGGTGCCATTCATTTTCTTTTTTTAAAAGAAAATAAATGTATTAAATATTTAAAACATGGGACACATAGGCCTCACATGCAATGCAAGTTGTGTATCTTAGGATGACATACCAAGCAAAAGAAAGATTCTTATTTCATTGTGTCACCCTTTAACGTAAGGGTTCTGAGACATTTGCCATGACACACAACATCTTCAAATTAATCAAACTCTTTGTGCCTTTAATCACTCAACAGTTCATCATTTCCTAAGTGGCACGTTCTGTTCATTCCTGCAACCACAGTATCAACTAACAGTTAAACAAAATTAAATAAAAAAAGTAAAGTGATTCCTTTGTCTAAGGAATAGTCCAAGTGAAGAGAACCATGTTGAGACATGATTTCTTTATTTTCTTCTTTTTTGGGTTTTTTCTTGCCATTAGTTGAACCATAATTCAATTTCAAAGTGAAAAAGCAACAAATTTTTAGGAGGGTAGTACAAATATTCAACAGAGAAAGGGCCAAAGATGAAAAGGTTATGCAAAGAGGAAAGGTCTTTTTTGGGAAAGAGCTTATTGCATTAAGTGGTCCCAATGTTTTCAAGTTTCAACCGCGCGACCTCCTAAAACTGGCGTTTGCCAATTTTTTAACGTTTATTCAATCACGTACAATAAAAATTCATGTATAATATTTCTAATAAATATTATAAAATTTAATATACTTATATCATTAAGTATTTTAAATTTTAAAAATTATTATTACATATTTTTAGACATTGGATTTTAAACTTAATGTGTGATCCATCGTAATTGGGGGCTATTCTGGTGCATCATAAACCGCAAGCAGTTGTATGGTCCCTACCAATCAAGTTCTCAATCTAACACATCACATGCTTGGTTAAAAAATATATGTGTATGTAAAAATATTTTTTTTTCTTTTGGTAAAATAAGCAGTAATTTGTGAATGGGTATGCAATAAAAATTTGCTAAAAAATGTTTAATTTGAAAAGACACGCTACTTTACTTTCTATGTTTGTTTATATCACAAAATAGTCTTTGTAGATTGCATGCACAGAGAAGGGTTTTTCTTTTTAGAATTGAAAATTGAAAGCTTTCACGCCATTTTCATTTTATAAAGGAATCAAATGTAATAGTTAATTAGTTATTGGACTTTTCTTTTTAAATATCACAAGGAAAAATAATATCCCATTCCAATTTTAATTTTTATAATTCATCATTGTCTTTTTTCTAATATAAAAATAATACTAAAAGATTTTTTATAAATTTTAAATTTTAAATAAAATATTTATAGAGTTAACTACTAAAATTGAGTTTACTATAATATATAAATACTAAAATACTATTAAGGCATAATAATGTGACTGAAGTAATAATATTTAAAAAAGAATAAAATCTGAAAGGCGATTAATTTAAAAATTTACCCATTTTTTCTCAAGTTTTGCGAGTTCAATAGGATTTTCATAAAGGATTTACGTGAGAGAAGAAAATAGGCCTAAAAGGGTAAAATATGAACATAATATAATATGATAATAAAGGCTCATGATTGGAGAAGAGCACGAGTATGCCCTTGTATGTGCACTACGCTATATAACCCAATTCCTCTTGAGCCTCTCATTATATAATAGCCATTTTTCTTTGGTTCCATTCCCTGCATTTTCTAGCTCCTTCTTTCAACTAATCTATGGCTACATATTCTTCCCCTCCTTCATCACCTCCTCCATCATCATCTTCTTCAATTCCTTCCCCAAGATCTAGCATGTTTTACTATGCTGGAAGTGAAAATCACTATGAGGAGCCTCACTTCCTCCAAGCTTGCTTTCTTTGCAACAAACCACTTGGCCAAAACCATGACATCTTCATGTACAGGTTAGCTTAGTTTCCATTCAATTCTAAATTTCCTTCAATTTATGAACAATCTAATCATACCCAGATGCTGATCTTGCTTGATTCTATCAAACTTATTTGTTAAAGATTTTATTTTTACATTGAATTTCAAGTGGGACCTAAGGAGAAGTTTTGTTTTCTTCTTCTGTTATAGACTCTCAGTTTTCAGATCTACTATAAAGTATGTACAATAAATCTACAATTAGTATCATGTTTGGTAACAAATTAATTTTGTGGAGTTAATATTTTTATTTTTTAAGAAAGTTAATGAAAATAAATAATTATTTTTCAAATTAAGTTGAACTCCTGTATTAGATGTTTCTAAGGGTGAAAAAAGTTTCTTAATTTTATTGGGAGCTTTTCTTATTTTCTGGATTAAACATTGATGGTGATACAAACTTTACTTGGATGAATTGATTTCTGATGGGAAGTGAATTTTGCAGAGGGAACACACCATTCTGTAGCAAAGAGTGCAGGCAGGAACAGATAGAGCATGATGAGGCAAAGGAGAAAAGTTGGAAGCTTTCTTCCAAAAGGGGTGTGAGACAATCAGAGACCAATCAAAACTCCACACCCAACAAGACTGTGAGAACAGGCACAGTTGCAGTTGCCTAATCAAAATGATCCATGATATGATGAGCGGTGAAAGAGTCCAATTTTTGAAGAAAGGAAAAAGGGTGGAATGGGAAATTCCCAATGAAAAGAAGTGCAATCAACAATAATCCATGAAGATTCTGATTAAACCGGGATGAATCTTTGATGCCTTTTGTAAAGAAAAAGTGTAGTTGGGTTTCAATTGGGAGAAAAAGGCCCAACAAAGATTTTTGGCTCTTTTTGTTTGTGTTTTTAACTTTTTGGACATTTTGGTTTGACCCTTTTTTTTCTCCTCTTATCTCTCTTCCTACTTTGAGATGCCTTTTCTTTTTCATGAAAATTGAGGCAATGGAAAGAAAAGTGTCAAAGAAACTTTATTGAAGATCTAGAGGAGTGAAACCTTGTTACATTACTCCACCATCATGTGTGCATCCCATGTAATAAGAATATCCATAGAAATATAATCATAGCCACTCAAATCTCCCAATTGAGTTGTCCAAATAAAAGGGTTTGGATCCTTAAGAATGTAACTTTAGATTCGATGTAGGAATTATTGTAGATGAAAAATGTTATAGATTAGTTAGAAAAATTAGTCTCACAAAACGTATTCTTAGAAACCATAAATTGAGAAATTATTAAATGAATATAAACCTAAAGATTCATATTTATTCATTATATCATAGAATTATAGAAGAATATTTAATAAATATCTCTTAAAGTATGATGTCTAAATAGATAAAAAGAGAAGAGAAATAATAAATGTAATAAACAATATGATATAACAAAATAGATCTACAAAGATGAGAGATATTAAGTAAATAATGATATTATTGTAATGCCTATAACTTGCAGATATAAATTATCGGGCGGAGTTATTGACGCTTTCATTTTATTTTATTTTATTTTATTTTTGTCTATACTTCACTAACAACTAGTAATTGAAATTCCTGCTATTAGTCTCATCTAAAAATAATAATAAATTTTAATTGAGTGTATTAATGGGATGAACAATATAATTGAAAAGTGGTGAGGTTGATTTGGTTGACCCAATTTCCATGTGTGAAAATTTAGTAGTATGGAACAGGAAAAAATGTTTCTGCTTATTTAATTTTGTAAATTATTTCTTTAAGTGCCTCTTATGATATATAATAAAATAATAGATAAATAAAAATCATTTATAAAAAATTAAATAACTTTAAATGCTCACACTTTATATGTATGTTAATTTTTCTGATTATTAAAAAAATTATTAAATATTAATAATATTTTTAAGACAATAAATACATGTATGTACTAAAATTTTTTCTCATATAAAAAAATGTTAATAACGCATTTTATAACATAATTTTTCAAATAATTTTTTTATTATTGAATAAAATTTATTTAAAATTTTAAAAATACATCAGTCTTATTCTTAATTTAACAAATGTCATAATTAATTTTATAATTCTTAAAACTATATTCAAACTAATGTTAAGAAGCATACTACCAACACTTTTCTTTCCTATATTTAATTACGGGTTTGTTGTATAAGAATTTATTTAAGTATTTAAAAGTATTAAAAAAATAACGTATTTGTTATATTAAAAATATAATAGATTTTTAATAAAATACTATAAGTATTTTCTTTTAAGAGCATTACTAACAAGATGTTTTTTTAACATATTTTTTTAATTTTTAAAATATTATTTTAATTTTTTAAAAATAGACTAATAATAATAAAAAATATTTTTAATAGAGTATCCCAAAAATTGTGGAAATAACATTTCTCTTTCCTTTAATTATTTTATAGATGTCTATTATTGATTGAAGTTGATGGATCTGCTTACCTAATAAATAGTACATAATCAATAAGGTGTAGCGTGTAAGCTTTTTAACGATGGATACATAATGATGATAATAATAATAATATTAATATCAATGGGAACTAAGAACTCAGTGACAACTCACACACAAGTGTGCAACAATGAATTCAATTTGAACTTCTCATCTGTTCCATCCACAAATGACCCGTCTCCGGTAACCAATGCTTCTTTGGAAGAAGGGAATTTTATTTTTATAATAATGAATGATGATATCTTTTTTATTAAAAAATAAAAATTACTTTTACAATTAAATATTAATTTTTTATTATAGTTTTTGGTATATTATTTTAATAAAGTTTATTTATTAATACACAAATGAATAATATTTTATTGGAGTATGTTTTCAATTTTATCACACAATTGACTGTTGATGAAAATTTGTGTTATGCTATGCAAGTTAAAAATGTTCACGTTCATTATCGTTTTATGTTCATTTAAAATTTGACAACTAAATACTCAAATGATAAATGCTAACTAGTGTCTTTAAATATTAGTTAAGAATTAGAATCACTTTTTTTATTTTTAAATAAAAGTGTTGTTAACTAAATCAAACTATATAACTTCCAATACATCTTTACTTGATTTTAAGAAGAAAACAAGTGTTTTTTAATTCTTTAATTGATGTTCTTAGACTACTAGTTAGTAAAACTTTAAATTAATTCTGAGAGAGACCACATCAGTTATAATAGTTCTTGGATAATAAAAACTATACACTTTTGCAGCAATAAAAAATTACACTCAAATTTGAAATTTGAATATGTATTTAATCAATTAAATTATAATTTGTTTAGTTACATCAAACTCTACAACAATCAAATGTGTATTTACATGTGTATTTTGACTATCAAACAAGTTAAGGTGCTTCTTATAGATACTAATCTAACTAAAGAAATACACATTCTAGAATCTTATGCACAATTTATTTCAGGAAAAATTATATTAATGATTCTTTGCATTTATTTAAACTCTAAAATATAAATTCAGTTCTTTCTTTTTTCCCCTTAATTTGGTTCATAATATTTTTTTGGCTGTAAAGTTTTCTTCATGTCAATTATGTTAAAGAAAACTTCAACAGAAGCGTCTAACATGGACATAATGTCATTAATATGTACAACAATGGTGTTGTAGAAAATCTCTCTCTTTCTCTCTATCTCTCTCTCTCTCTCTCTCTCACATACACAGAAAAAAGTCACAAACTATACACCACAGAATAACTTACTAAATTAACAATATATTCATAGCTATCATTCATAGCAAACAAAATATATGGCCACTGAACAACAAAAAGATCATTAGCAATGTAGTGCTATTAGTGTTCAGCATTCTATACATCAATGACATCTAGTTTTTTTGCCTGTTTTGTATATCCATCATTGGCCCAAAATGGACCATGTTCCCAGCCACACTTAGACATAATGAAATTTTACTATGAAGAAACATTGGCTTTCTGAAGGATCATAAATCTTCTTCTACTAGCACTCTCAACATGTTCACCAAGTTTTGCAAGATGCTCCATCCTTTTTTTCCATAACTCTGAAGAGCCTGGTTGTTTTGGCTCTTCTTCAGCCTCAACTGGATCACTTTCAGATTCCTCAATACTCTTATTATCTGCAGGGTGTTCTTCATTAGAATCTTGGATGATTATCTGCTTCAATATCTCTACCACCTGACTCATTGTTGGCCGGTCTTTTGCACTCTTACGCAGGCAATGATCGGCGAGTTTGGCAATTTTTCGTGATCCATTAATGGAGTATTGTCCTTTAAGGCGCGGATCCATAATAGTATCAAACTTTTTGCTATCAGGAGGATAGTGCTTCACCCACTCCAATAGTTTCTGCTCCGTTTTCGGCCTGTTTCTTTCCATGGAACGCCTGCCAGTAAGCATTTCATATAGCACCACACCAAAACTCCACACATCACTCTTGGCAGTGAGATGGCCTGTCTCAATGTAATCTGGAGCAGCATAACCATGTGTTCCCATCACCTAACACAAGAAAAATTTACATAAACACTTATAATCTTGATGATCAAGTGTAAATGCATTATAGCACGGATTTTTTGCTTATATTTGGATGCCATGTTAATCACACAATTACTTAGCTAAAATTTTTTGAGAATCACAAAATTACGTGTCTTACTCCGATTTAATTGATTTCATGATTTCTAATAAATTTCAACCAAAAGTAAGATGCGTGTTAGAGAGTGTGTTACTACTCCTCTGTTTACAAATAGTGTAATTAAGTTTAGAATCTAAGCAGAAGAATATTTATGCAGTAGAACACGTTGGAAGTTTTATCACCAACAATTATGGAAATATTGAAGTTTATAACAAAATTATATTCACAGAAAAATCCAACAGGATATTTTCCAGTATCCAAATTCTCTTGGATCAACAGATACAATACACCAAAGCAAAAGTGTAAATGCTACTGAATAATCACAGGGAACACAAAAAATTACCGCAGTTGAAACATGAGTATCCCCAGCAACTGGTCCCTCCCTAGCAAGTCCAAAATCAGAAAGCTTTGGCTTAAAATCTTCATCCAGCAATACATTGGACGATTTAAAATCTCGATATATCACCTACGGCGTTACCATACAAATCTTTAGTAGAGGATATAAAAGCCATCTAACACTGAGAAAACCAATTGAGTGAAAAGAACAATTGCCACTGTTAAATTAATGATATAAATTATTGTGACAACAGCATAAAAATCCGAAACACACGGCCATTGACTGAATTAGCATAAGACAAAGAAGGAGGGAAGTTCTTTGACATTCACATGGTCATCAGATAAGAATCACTTACCCTAAAGAGATTTTCTACATACGTATCAAATTTAATATGGACAAGAAGTATATATTCTGAGAGTTTCCTAGCTATTTCAGTGTTCATAGCTAGGTTTATCTGATTCCTCTTATTGAGGAGTGACTCCCTTAAAAGCTTAAGTTGTTCGGTGAATAAACATTAGTGCTTTTAATTTCTAACATGTCCTGTCCCTTGAAATCATGTTGGTCTTAAAGTATGGATAACACATGCACCCGCTAGTGCAGTAAGGATTGTAGTCTTGACCACATGGTCATAAAGGCACTAATACAATCTTAAGGGCAAATTCTATTAAAAGCTTAAACTAATAGGTGAAAATACATAAATGATTGTATACTTCTAATTCTGGTTAGTGAGGGAAGCAGGGATAATATATAGTCATAATGCTTTAACTGGAACCTGAACTTCTAATTCTTCATGAAGATAGGATAACCCCTGAGCTGCTCCAAGTGCTATTTCAAGTCTTGTTTTCCAAGGAAGCGGATCATAGGCTTTATTGAAAAGATGAAATTCTAAGCTTTTGTTTGGCATGTATTCATACACAAGTAGTCTCTGGATCCCTCTTTCACCATCCAAAGCACAGTATCCAATAAGCTTGACAAGATTTGGGTGCTCCACAACACCAAGAAACTGAACTTCAGTCAACCATTGCTTGTGGCCCTACATGACAGAAAAATGGTCAAAAGAATATTCTGATATCACCATATTTAATACAAGAACAAAGCATCCCAATGTCAACATATTCAATATTAAAAGAAAGCATAAGAAAAAAAAAGAGCAATCTAGCTTCTTTAAGCTAAATGTTACTAACAAATATGGGCATGCATAAACAACAAAAGCATAATATATTCAGGATAGTGATTTACTAACATAAAAATATTGTCCATTATAGAATTAAAACAGTAGTGAAGATAGATCCTTTAATAACTCATAATCCCTTCATGTTTTTCATTAAGAATAATATTTACTTTCTGAATTAAGCAATACCTGACATCCAGAACCCCATTTGCTACGGAGTTACATTACAGTATTATGTCAGTAAAATAGTCCTTTAACATTAATTCAATTGAATCAACTAAATTTTCCAATAGAAAAATGGCTACAAATGCATCAGGGAAGTAAGTATCTTGAAAGAGAGGATTTTTGTGTCTGAATCTCTTGAGGAAATCTTCAGCATATCAATATTATCTATAACACAATTACAACCTCATATTGCCGGAAACAAGAAAACTAGGAAACAAGTCCTGACTAAGTAAAAATATTGAAATCAAATCCTAGCTGCTAACAGTAAATATACAGCTCCTAAATAGGTGATATTATCCAAAAATATGACACTTTCAGACCCTCACTATCTTACTCTTGAACCTAAGGTCCCAGGATGAAAGAAGATAATATTGTGCATAGACATCTATAAATGTGATTTTGAAATTAACTTACATAAATATAGATTAAAATAGGATAAAGTAATATGGAATCTTGAGATAACTGAATAACAGGAAATAATTATCAAATGAGATCGTCTCTCCCTGAGAAATCTTAAGGATGGACTCCCCACATTGGTGGGTGGTGCATTCAAGGTAATTAATTTCCCTAAGAATTGGAGAAAGGTTCAAGTTTGACCAGTCCACACTCCACACAAGGAAATGGATCCCCTAATGCATGATTTTCACTAGATCTCCTCATGCAAAAATGTTGTATTTGTCTCTCCCTTGATTGAGATTAGATAGGTAAGATCTTGCATGAGAGAATCCATTCCCATCAAGGTAGAGAGAACATCTCATTAGCCAATATGCCAAGTCCATGGGCTGTGGATATTGACTTCGAAAAAATACTAAAATCGCATGAAAAGTAAAAATAGTCACGTATTGCATGAAAAGTTGCATGATACTTCTTTGATGGATCACATCACATGAATAAATATAATATCAAGAAAAAAGAGGAGACAAGAAAAATTTTCACCCTGTCTGATTTATTTAAACTAAATTTATGCTTTTCATATTTACTAATTTTCATCTCTGAGCATAAAAATTTATGTTTATTTGTGGCATTTTCTGATAAATCACTTTCCAAGAAATTCATTGACTCTCATACCTGCAATGCATCCTTGTTAAGCCTTTTGATGGCAACTAAAACAGGAGCACCATTTCCATCAACAGGCTTGATTGAACCTTTATAAACACTTCCAAATCCACCTTCTCCTATCTTCAAAACCCTGCTGAAATCACTTGTTGCACGTTTGAGCTCAGTAATGGAGAAGGCCCTCAAATTGTGACCCTTCTCCTCATACAGTTCCGGTATACCTCGAGGCGACAGAGACGAGCATGACGACTTGGTGACCCTTTCAGGCCCTGAAAACTGAAGTTCATCTTGCTCTTTCAGTTCAGGTGCTGACCTTTGCTTTGGGCTCCTCGATTTGTCTTTGAAGTAGTAAAAGCACTTCATTGCATAAACAATTGGCTATGATTCTTATGCACTATCTCTGATCATAAACCTATAATCAATTCAGCAAATCACCTGAAACAATGATTGTCAAGAATAAACATCCACGATACCATTTCCACCTAAAAAACAAGAAAAACACAACTAAGAAGTGAACAGTGACACCCCAAATACATCTACAAACCAAAAGCCAAAAATGCAAAAAGTTTTAAAATTCTTGCACCCCAGATAGCATTTTGGAGAGAGACAAAAATAGATTAAACAACACTGAAAAGTTCACCCAACATACAACTTTATGCAAATGAACCAGAATCTATTAAATAACACAAATAAGCCTCAGAAGGAAAAAATAGTTGAGCAAAAAAAAGGGTCGCAATTGAACAGTGATGCCCCAAATGCATATATATCTCAAAAGACAAAAAAAAAAAGTTGCATACTTTCTGCACCCTGTATAGAAAATTGGAGATAAGAACAAGAATAGATTAAGCAACAGTGAAAAACCCAAATAAGAGTTTACACAACATACACCATTTTCAGACCAACAGAACATGCAAAATGAACCAGAATCCATTTATCACGCGAGTAAGCTTCAGAAGGAAAAAAAAATTGAGCAAATAGCAAAAGGGTTAAAATTGAAGAGTAAATAATTGGAGTCCTCACAAGCATACAGAAGAACACAGACGCATGGCTTGGCTACAGTACACATTCTAGAAGCTTATACTTTGCACAGAGAGAAGAGATGGTTCGGGTCCATATGAGTTCATCTTTTGAAAAAGTTTGATGTAACAATAAAAAAGAGATTTTTACATGTTATTTTATATTTTATGTGCATTTTTAAATGATTAATAAAGAATATGAATCTTAAAAATAAAATTTAATAAGTAGAATAAAATTTTTAATAAATTTTTGTTTATTATAAATATTAAAGTTTAATCGATATTTTAAATTTTAATAAAATTTTTATTATTTATTAATTCAACTCAATCTTATAAATTTAGAATAATAAAATCGTTTAAATGATATATAACTCATAATTTATTTGGGTTCTCTTCCTCACGCAAATTAAGGAAAAAAAATTAAAGAAAAGTTCTGAGAAACTTCTGTCATTTTTCATTGATTGGTTGACCAAAGGCAAGCCAGCTTGCCAGTTTCTGTTTCTCAACTTTGAAGAGACAGAGATGTCTGTATTGACCAAGTTTTTTATGAATGGCTATTGGCTGCTCTTTTTTTTCTTTTTTAATTAATTAATTAATTAATTTTAAGATCAAATCTCACACGTCGACTTACATAGATTTAGGTTTTGTTATAGTATTTAATATTTTAAAAGCCAATGTTATGAGAATTAGTTTTAAAATAATGGTTAAATTAAAGTTTTAATATCTATACTTAATGTTATTTTTCGTATTAATTTTAAAACAATACATTTTAATACTTACATGTACAAATGTTTGCAAGTTTACTGTCACTGTTTACTAAAGTTATGAGATGTATTAGTATTTTGTTGACTTCACAACTATGTTAATTTTATCTATATATTGGATTTTTATTTTATTTTAATCATTGCATAAAATATTCTAGTATCGTTATAACTTTAATAAATAAGTATGATTTTTTTATAAATTATTTTTATATAAATATTAAAATATAGAAATTGTTTTATAAAATAACTAAAAATGATACAAATATAAAAACGAAATTTACAATTTAACTTAAAACAATTAAGGTTAGCCACTAAAGTTGGGTTTAATAATAAGAATTAGTTCTGTATTTCACAAGGATGTGAATTTGAATCTAGTTATTAATGTTACACCTTTGTTAATAAAGTAAGGTATAAGTACCTTTAGAAGTAATTTTTAACATAGACATATTTTATATTTAAACATTGAATCACTGAATCTTAATTCATCTAAATTTTAGTCAACAAAAAATTAAGGTTATAAAATTAATTTATATTTAAAAATAAGATTTTAAATATAGTTTTAAAAGGTTAAACTCGTTTGTATGATAAAAGCAAAATCATGTTCATTATTCTAAATAACATGATTAATTTTAAAAGATAAAATCTAAATAAAATGAATCATTAAAAAATTTCAAAAATCAACCGGTGAGATTTTTTATTGAGAGGAGTTAGATTCTATTTTTAAACTATAAATATATGGGTGTTTTAAAATTTTAATGGATCCTATGCTCAACAAAAAGTAAATTTTGCCACCCTAAAATTAAATGGAGTTAGTTTAGCTTATTCAAAAACTTATTTCAAAAGCTTTTAAAAAAATAGTTATTTTCGGTGAAGTAAATGTTATTAAACATATCATAAACGTACCATCTAATTTCAAACTTACGTGGTCAAATCATACAGTTCCCTTTCACCAAACACGATATCTTGAACTTGCTTTCCAACTTACAATTTTTATGTTATGATAATTACCTACTATTTAAATAAATATTTATTTTTATAGGTAAAACAAATATTATTAAAAAGAATTTAAGGAAAACTCAAAACTCATATACACAGAAAAAATTATTTACTCAGAGAAATAAAAAGCAAAAATATACTTATACAAAATTAAGTCAGATGCAATTTCGTGAGTTCAAATACCTATCAACTAACATAATAGCTTCTCCCTTACTAACAAGTGATAGCCATTTTCAGAATCTCAGAATAATAGAATCTAGGACCTCTCTCTCATCCAAAACATCATTTGAAAATACAATTCTATTTCTATGCAACCACAAAGACCATATTGTACTTACCCAAACAATTAATAAGCATATTCCTTCTCTTTTACTACAGCCAACACCAACCTAAGAAAGCAAATGAGTCGATAAATCTGAAGGAAAAACTAGTGAAAATTCAAGCCAACGTGCAGTAAAGTACCAGATTTGAGATGAAACTGAACACGTTAAAAATAAATGAGTTGGAAGTTCCTCCAAACCATGACAGAAGCAACTAGTTATATCATCAATTTGAACACCACGATCAATCAATAAACCTTTACAAGGAAGTGCATTCAACAACAATTGCCAAGAAAAAATCAGACACTTAAGAGGGACCTTCCCTCTCTATAGCCTTTGCAAGGCATCTGCCGTACAATGATCTACACTATTAGGACCACTAAAAGTTCAAATAGCCATGAATACGCAGATTGCACTGAATAACAACCTTAAGAATCTGCCCTCCATACCCAATTATCTTCTTGTAGTAACTTAATAGAAACTCCATCCACAAGCTCCAACAAAAGATTAAAGCTCGAGATCTCATGTTGAAAGAGTCTTCTTCGCCAATTAACATTTCAAACCCACCTAGTGCCATCATGAAAACCATTCTCCAATACACATGATTCAGCATTCCTCGCCAACGCAAATAATCGCGGAAATGCTTCACACAATCGCACCCCGACTACCCGCTTATCTCTCCAGAAAAAGAGTGTGTAAACCTGTACCCACACTTCTATCAAACTTCTCATTCAGCCATGAATTCCCTTGATGAATAACTTCCAGCAAATCACGCCACCACAAAGAACATCTGTTGTAAACTGATGAACACTAAATAAAAGAAGCTAATCTTTCATATCTAGATTCCAATACCCGCACCCACAATGAACTAGAACAGTTAACACCTCGCCACAACCATTTACCAAGAAGCGCCTAATTAAACCACTACACATTCCTAATGCCCAAGCCACCATTCTTCCTCGATCTATATGTCGTTTTCCATTTCACCAAGGGGATTTTAGATCCATCCTTAACACCCTTCCATAAAAAATTGTGTTCAATAGTGACAATCTCCTTTATTACCGACTTTGGCACCTTAAAAAAGGATAACGAGTGCAATGACATAGAATTAAGAACAACATTAATCAAAGTCACCCTACCTCTAATCGATAAATACCTATGCTTCCATGACGCTAACTGCTTTTTAAGAGCCTCTAACACACCCTTCCATGCACTAGGCTTTCTTGGGTTAACACCTAACTGTAACCTGAGATACTTTAATGGGAAACTACCAATCTTATAATGTAGGAACTCCGCAGCCAAGTTTTCAAAGTCATCACCAGTGTTAATCCCCAATACAAAAGATTTATGGAAGTTAATTTTCATACCTGACATTAATTCAAAGCTACGCAATACTGCTTTCAAAGTCCACAAATTCTGCACCGAAGCCTCTCCCATAATCAATGTGTCATTTGCAAACTGCAGCAAAGAAATATCTGGTCCCCCTACCCCAATCTTCACACCAGAGAACAATCCAGAAGTCACTGCCTTCCGCATAAGAACTCCTAACCCTTCCGCTGCCACAAAAAAAAAAAAAGGGGGCAAGAGGATCCCTCTGTTTTAGGCCCCGCTTAATATGAACCTCCAATGTAGGACAACCATTAATCAAAGCTGATAGGCTTCCCCCACACATACAAGCTTCCATCCAACTGACCCATTTGTCTAAAAATCCAAGGCTACGTAATATAAACAAAAGATATTCCCACTCTACCGAATCATACGCCTTCTCATAATCAAGCTTTAACACAAAACACCTCTTATTATACCTCAGCACATAATCCAACTGATTGTTCGTCTGAAATTATTAAATCCAAAACCTCTTTCAACTTATTTGACAAAAGCTTGGAAATAATCTTATAAAGACAACCTAATAATGAGATAGGCCAAAAATTAGATATCTGTTGTGGGCAAGACACTTTTGGCACAAGTGCTATAAAATAAGATAACAAAGACCTAGGTAACTTCCCATTTCTACAAAATTCAGTAAGCATACCCATCACTTCTTCCTTAATCACTCCCCCAAAACCTCTTAAGGAACACAAAATTGAAACCATCAGGCCCCGGACTTTTATCACCCTCACACTCCAAAATCATCCTTCCTACTTCTTCCTCCGAAAAAGCATTAACAAGCTCCTCATTCTGTATAATAGAAACTCTTGGTAAATTATTAATATCAATAGTAGGTCGAAGCCAACTTCTACTACTAAAATGAGCCGGAAAATAGGACATCACACTTGCTTTAATCTCATTAACCTCTTCGACACATCTCTCCCCAATTTGGAGCGCATGTATATTATTTCGTCGCTGCCTCCCATTAACACAAATGAAAGAACTTTGTATTTAAATCACCCTCCTTCCCCCATATCACCCGAGCTTTTTGGGCTATGAGACTCTCTATTCTTCCTAACCTTCCAAATATCACCCACCAACATCTGTTGACGCTTCTTTTCCACATCAGAAAGTTCTATCACAGAATTTTTATGATCAATCAAGCTCAACTCAGTTGTCAAATCAGAAATCACCTTATCAACATTTCTAAATACCTCAATATTCCATTTTTTCAATGCAATCTTAACATTCCTTAACCTCTGGCTAGCTCTCTAGGCAGCCCATGGAGGGTAATATCTCTTTTTCACGCTTCCTCCACCACCTCCACAACTTCTTTATGAGTCAGCCAACAATTATTAAATCGAAACGGCTTCGAACCCTAGTTAACCACTTTGTGCTTAAAAATAATGGGACAATAATCAGACACATATCTGCTCAGAACCTGAATGAAACCATTTCCCCAGTAATCAAGCCAGGAACTAGAAACAAGGACTCTATCCAGTCTGCTCATCATAGAAGCATCCCCTTTTATCCATGTAAATTTTTTACCCACAAGTGGAAGATCCACAAGTTTTATTTCCTGAATGAAAGAATTGAAGCCCTCCATTTCAAATATACCATGGTCTACCTGACAACCCTTCCTCTCTTTCACTTGTTGCACAACATTGAAGTCACC